TCAGTTGCTTAAGTAGGAAAATAGCCCTAGTTGTTGACCTCTCTGGTGTAAAACCGAATTGGTTTTCTGATACACTCGTTCCATGCCTTACTCGTTGCTCAATCACTCTCTCCAAAAGCTTCATAGTGTGGCTCATAAGTTTGATTCCTCGATAGTTGCACAATTCTATGTGTTCCTTTGTTCTTGTGAATAGGTACCACAGCACTTTTCCTCCATTCATCTTGCATTTTCTTTATTCTCAACGCCTTGTTGAATAGCTTGGTCAGGTTTGGCAGGTAGTTTGTTGTCGTGCCCAGCAGTAGTTTGTTGTCGTGCCCAGCAGTTACGTTGAAGTGGAAATAATGGTCTATGTGTTCAATTGACACCATTGTCACGTTCTCTAAATAGGGTCTAGAATGTCCATCCAATTTAGAATGTGCGTCACATCATATCTTATCTTGAAATGTGTAGTATAACATGGCAAAAACATTGTCATTTTTAGCAGAAGCAACTTGGTGGGAAGGGCTATAGTTCTATCTTGCCCCTATGGCAAGTGTGACGGCTTGTTGTCTTCGAGAACATGTTGCACTGCTCTGGTCCTTATGAATTTAGAAACATAATTTGGGGTATTTTTGTCAATAATAGGCTTTGAGAAGGTGAAGGCTAAAGTCGTACTTTCTTATGCACCGTAGTGCATAAGTAATTTGGTTTTTTGGATAAGTGAAAAATGTATGCATGCGCCAGTGCGCGGTGTCAATGAGGATTTAAGAAGGTTAAAACAAAGGTTAATGATAAAGACTAGTGGGTCATGAGAATGTGGATGTCATCCCTAGTTTTTGGCTGCAAAAGTATTGAAGTATAGTTGGGTGGGTTCACCACTTAGTTTAAATCTGGCACTTGGTGTGCTTGACCTATTTTAAAGCAAAGTTCAATTTTTCTCAAAAGTGCATTTATACCAAAGTTTATGCTATGTCAAACATAAACCTAAACAATTACTCACCGAATAGCACATGAGTGAAACAGAGGCGTTGCATTCGGAAACACTAGAGAAGGGGAAAATAAGACTTCACAAATCTTGAGGAATTGTTGGGAATCATGATGTTGAGATAATTCTTTGCACAGTTCCAGGCTGACAATGAAATATTTAGTTTGGACAGTGTTGATGCATTTCCTGCATCGGAAAAAATAAAATGTTCCGATTTCTCAATTTGCCAAGAGTTCTTTTTTTTTGACGTTTAGTTCATAGTTACCGAGATCGCCTACTTTGGTAAGCGATCCTTTCTAGGATCTCAATTGTGACGTTCCTGAAACAAATCTCTCAGGGATCTCGATTTTTGAATTTTGGGATCTCGAACCCCATTGATAGGGACCCTGATTCCTACTGTTAAGGATCTCGATCCCAATCTTAAAGAGTAAGACATCAACCAAATTAATGATTTTCTTTGTTTATAGCCAACTAGCAACACAACTATCGCTTGCTTGCTATCAACAATGAGATCCCTATATTAAAAGTATACGTAATCGTAGATTATTATACACTTTAAGGTTGGTAACAAGATCCCCAAAAAGTTGGGATCACGATCCCAAAAGGTTGGAATTTCGATCCTTAATATTTGGGGGTCTCGATCCTTAACATGTGCATTGTACAGACAGCGTTCCCAACCATAGGGATCTTCTGGTATTTCATGATACCTCGCTCCCGATCCCAATAACTATGGTTTAGTCTTCATTGAAAGATGTGGCAATGTGAAATTCAAGTTTATAAAATCAACAAATTTCTTATTTTCTTTATTAATGAATCTGAACTCCACTTACAAGTGCCACAAAACACTACTGTAATTGAAAAATTAAAACCCTAAATACAACATAGGACCTTTTACTGCTAAACAAATAAACACAACCCAAGAATAAAAAACAATCTTCCACTAACAATTTAAGTACAAATAATGTTCCTCAAAAATCACGGAAAATATGGAAATATGACTGAGAAAACAAAAGTAAATAGCTGGGAAGACTTATTTGATTGTGCCTAGGGTTACCTCCACAAGACTTGGTACACCCCACACCCAATTTCCTAACCGATGGTGCCCTTTTGATCCTATTGGCCTTCCTAAAATTTCAAACCCGGGAAGCTTGTCTAGGCAATACTTCTCAGTTGAGGGTTTACAAAGCATAAGAAACAATTAGGGTTAAGTAGAAGTCCGTTTTAGAACATATAGGGCACGTCTTAAGAAGGCACATCCCTTTTAGGTCTAGGCGTACCCCTCTCACATTTCGAACCCTAATTAGGGTTTCTTTGGCATGCCACCCTCTTATTCTTTTATGGTGGCATGCCACTATTTTTAAGAGAGATGTAGGAGAGGAACTTTAGAGAGAGAGAGTTATATAGCATGCCCTTAGGTCTGCATATCCAATGACTCAACATGACCAATAGGAATTAAAAAAATCTGTGAGGTAAGAGAGAAACAAATCGAGTTATCCATCCAACAAATCAGCCATCCTGATTTAAGGAAGAATATTAGGAACTTTATCTCTTAATATATGACACATATCCACATCTAGTCAAAATAAAATAAGACCATTTTAAAAACATTCTAGAACTTCTTAACACCTCTTTCAAAATTGTTGGAAGTCAAAGATAATATTATTTAGTCAAAACTAACTCCTACAAAATAAGGACACATAATATTTTCGTTTAAATCTATAATCTTTTTGCTTAAATCATATTCTTTTAAAAGATTATGTATTCATAAACAAAACCTTTTTTTAAATCAAGTAGTGGGGTGTGCCTGCCCTTATGGATGAAATGTGGCGCCATGGGCCCCATGCCCTACCCATGGAGTTCGCACTCAGGTGGGGCTCGATCCAAGGGCCCCACATGTGTCCTTCCTATTTCTCAAAATTTTCAAAATACCCATTTGAGGAATTTTACAGTAGAAATACATATTAAAAATTATAAAAAATTCTAAAAATTATGTAATATTTCAAATACTAAAAATATAATATCTAGATGTGGACTGGTACTAACGGGTCAAATTAAGTGACTATAATGGCACTCCGCCCGAGCCAATGACTATGATTTTACAACTGTCTTCTCAGACCAACCCAACAAAACCCATCACACAATCTCATGCATGGACTCGCTAAGTACATGAAACTACAATGCAAAGGGGGACTATTTATGCACATGTGAACATTTCCCTTTCCAGGGCCGCTTCTTAATAATGCAGCTATCTATGTACATGTCATGCAGAAATTTGTCGAGGATTTAGTCATCGCTCTCACAGGCCTACATCCGTACACAGGAGACCACAGAGTTCTCCTGGTCCACAAACCATCCCTGAGCATCTCTCCGATCTCAAAAAAGGATAACACAATGTAAAACCATTTTTGACAAAGCCACATGCCTAGGCATAAGGGTTTTAAACATGACCATGGCCTCAAACGGCCTAACCCTTTGGTCTGTCAAACAATACACACCCACTGAAGCACATAATCCAGTATAAATGCCTTTTTATATGCTCCCACTGCCTTTTTAAGCCACAAACCCCAACATTCATATCGTTGGATTAAACATGGTAAAGTGACCACTCATTGTTTGGCATTAGGCTTTGTGGTAAAACCACAGTTTCATATCCATTGGAATAAATCATCAATGGTGATCGTTATTTTTCAGTGAAGAACACCGAAATAGCACAGAACGATAACTGCTTCGACAAAAAGAATCCGAGAAGGATTCAGGAATTTGACCCCTTATCTCCTTGGGGTGATAGAATAGATAATGATAATCCAGATGTGAATTGCTTGCGGATGGCTGAACAATCTATAAAAGGGCAAACCTAGGGAAGAAGACCAAGGCAAAAATGGGGGTAAGTTCTCTTCTAGCAGCAGTCTTTTGAGGTTGGGTAAGTGTAGGCACGAAATTTTGAAGGATGTGGGTTTTGAGAAAATCCTTCCAGTATGGTTGTAAGTCTGTTTTTAAGAACAGAGTGAGAGGTTTCAAGCATTGTAATGTGGTTTTGAGGGTGGCATGGGAGTTTTCAAGTCTCCCTTTTCACTAGCTACTTTCAAGGTTGAATGGAGGGTTTGAATCACAACTTCCAGTTATCAAATTAGGAAGTGAAGTGGTTGTAACGCTTTCTTTCAAATAATTGTTGGGAGGCATTTTGTACTTGTATGGCTGGTTCGCATGGTCTCCCATGCAGTATAAGTTTATGGAGGGTGTCATAAGAGAAGGGGATGTGTGTAGAAAAGCACACTCTCCTTGACGTTCGTCCACATAGAGTTGTGGGGTAATGCAGACGAATACCAAAGATCTTTTTTCCAGGCTTCAGTCCGACAAGAATTAGACAAAAGTGAAACAAGATAGTCTCTGCCAGTGATGTCCCCACTTGTCTTTCAGGTGGGGAATAGGAACCCAAAAGTGAAGGCTTTGCATGTTCCTTTTCAGTTCGACACGTCAGAAGTCGAATATGACATGTCAGAAAGCACTCTGAAACCCATAGAGCCAATCCTTCTACTGAAATTGGGAATATTTTAAAACATCAGCACTCAAGATATCCTGGGTACATAAAACAACCACGAGCTAATGGCCTTTAAATAGCCATAAAACCCAACAATTGAAATACATCTGAAACAAATATTACCACGAAACTTTGAAAAGCCAGAGCATCCATCAGAGCATCTCTTATTGTAGTCAAAAGGGAAAAAGGAAAAAATTACCAAATTTATATAGACATCATTTGCCAATGCAGTCAATTCCCTCCTCTTATAATAAGGAAGAAAGAATTTCATCTTAAGTCCTTTCTTTTCAATTTGTAAGATACAGGCAAATGGATGTCGATTTACAACCAATTCATGCTTAGCCATATTGGGTCTCTATTACAAAAATGACCCTTCCGAAACACATAATTGACTGGGAGGATAAAAGTCAAGCTGTAATAGAAACCTGAGACAAAAATGTGCTCCAATAAATGACACACTGAAAGTACAAATAAAAATCAAGACGCAAAATGAAAGACCTTTATTGCGACGTCCTCGCCTGATTCACACAGTGTGGCGCGATAGACTTGACCCAAACTAGCAGCTGCTATTGTCTGAGATGATATTTTGCTAAATACAGATTCGAGAGGAGCACCGAGTTCCTCTTCAATAATAGTAAAGGCGACCTAAACAAACTTAATAGTTAGAGATAGGTTATCCGAAAGGGAATCAAAATAGCATATGATGGCAGAAAAATGTATACAGCAATGAGACATACTACATACACTAGCATGTATACCTGATTAGGAAATGGAGGAACATCATCTTGAAGAATACACAGCTCATTCATGTAATCTTCCCGAATGATATCAGGTCTGTTGGCAAGAACCTATCAATGTAAGTTTGACCCAAGTCACATAGGAGACCAACTTATATATGTTAATTATTATAAATTCTTCTCACACAGATGAGAAACTAAAACTAGTCATGACAGAGAAAGAAGTAACCTGACCAGCCTTGATGAAAGATGGTCCCAGATCACATAACAGGTTCCGGAGCTGCATGGCACGAAATGGTACAATTTCCTGATCCCTCCCAGTCAAGCAGTCATATGTAAGGGCAGACCAATAGAGGCCCAGCTTCCAAACTATTTCCACCCCACGACCAATAAGTGATAATATTGCACCTCTCGATTCCAGTACTTTCTTTCTCACCTGTCAATAAGCATTCAAGTCGAGGAACAGAACAGAGCATAATATGACAACAACATGAAGAAGGGAAACACTTTGGTTGTGATCAATAACGTACAGTTTCAGGGGTGTACTTTCGGAAGGGGAAACAGACACCTCGTTCAAAATCAAGCTGTTCCAACGCACTGCTGCTGCTTGACAGTAACGAGTCCTCCTTCTCACCCCTCTTTCTCAGTGGAACCATCCCAGAGCTACGAATTGAAGTGACGGACATCATCTTCAGTCTTGACAACACAGGTCCATGCTTCACTCCTCCTCCTCCAATGGACACCAAAAATTTAGTATTTAATGGGGTAAACTTCGTCTTAGAAGTCCAATTTGAGCAACAGTTCTTGTCCCACATCAAATTCCTATGGCCAAATACATCATATGATGATCTTAACTGAACAGGCCTGATAACTTCCATCTTTTGTCCTTTCCTGCTCAAACCAAAATGAGGGGCTTGGTACCACAAACATACAAATTGAAAAAACAAAAAAGTGTCAATTTCAAATTAATCGATAGTCAACTGAGTAGCAGTCCTGCTGTGAAGCTAATATATGGACGAACAAAAGTAATTTCTCGATACATGCATTTGATATATTAAATTTATAGTTCACTCGAAAGATAAAAACACATACGCATCTTCATCTTAGGATGAAAAATCATAAATAAAAGGAACGGCAAGGATTGGCAACTTCTTTGTGGTTGTTAGCTGGAAAATTGACACACAGCATGCCACATAAATTGAAATGAGCCATCTCAGTAACCCTAAGCAAACAGAAAACACGGCAACACAGAGCCGCCATCTCCTAAGGTTTTTTTGCCACGAATGAGAAGGTAATTAAAAAACAAACATACGCCCCAATCCATCATAATCTAGGAATGGTTTGATGCGGTTAGAATCAGTCCATTATCGCTAACTCTTCACGTAATTGATATCAGAATTAATAATTAATGAAACCGACCACGTCTGTATTGCAATATATCTTTTCTACCAAGAAATGACATTAATTCTCACGGAATCTTGTGGAAATTTACATTCTTGTTTTTTTGGAAAGTGGAAAACAAAACAAAAAATGAAAACCTCTGAGCTCTGACAGGAGAATAACAGTGGAGATGAGTTCCTTAATTACCTTTGTTTTTCAGATTACGATATTTGGTTGACCCTAAATCATGGAAAACATTGCAAAATAAAAATTGAAGCATTCGCATTCGCCACCCCGTGATGCTTCAATTTGTGGACTGGATTGGATTGGGGTTAGAGAGAGAGAGAGAGAGAGAGGAGGGGA